GGGGGGGGGGGGGGGGACTGTGTTCAATATCACACACCTGCTATAGGTTAGGGTAAGGAAGACTGTGAGGGCGGTAGGGGCCTGACTGAAGGGCAGCTTGTGTGTGAGGTCACCAGATGGCCAGGTGGGGCATCGCACAGGGAGGGGGGGGCACCCACCTCCTGCACTCCAGCCACCTCCATCAGCGGGATCAGCTCCGCCTTAACGCAGTAGGTGAGCCGCCGCATCAGCTCCGTCAGCAGGGCCTTGTAGGCCCAGAGCTCCCCCAGCTCCTGAGGGGTGAGGGAGAGGCCAGGGAGGCACCATCTTGTCAGGGACCTCTGTGTTTACGGCAGTAATATGCTTTGAAACATTACGCTGGTCTGCAGATTATTGTATCTGGCGTCATTCCGTTCAGGAAGCAGGTCATTAAGGATGTAATTAGCGGAGATGTGGGCCTTCCCGAGAACGAACCAGAAGACCCTGTGGATCACTGGCAGAGAAGCAGTCATACTAATTAAGAGGTTATATACGGCACACTTTCAATCTGCACTTTAATAAGTGTGTTGGAGAACACAGGGTGGTGCGAGTGTCACCAGCAGGTGGCGCTCTGCAGGGCGGCGCTAAGGCTCCCACCTCAGTGAAGTGCAGTACGCAGGAGCAGAAGGCCGAGGCTGAGCTCAGCAGGCTTTGGACGAAGCCACGGGTCAGCCGGAAGCGGTCGGCCACGGCCCACAGGTCGGTCTCCTTCAGCATGGACAGGAGGACCAGCGCCAGGTAGAGCCGGCCCACCACCTCGGGGTCTGCTGGCTGAGGGACCGGGGGACACCGGGCTCAGTGTCACAGCGACCTTCAGCCCCAACATCGATGCCGTTTGACACAGGCATCTCTGCACACACCTTCCTCACGCTTTGCCCTGCCGCCTTCCTGGCCACGAAGCTTTCCGGGACCCCCAAGACCGACGCCATCTTCAGTTCAGTGGCGGTCATGGACGTGAGCTGGAGGACAAAACACATGTCAGCTCGCCACACTAAAAAGGGAGACGCTCCTCTCAGCAAACACACGTCTGTGTGTGTGTGTGTGTGTGTGTGTGTTGCAAGGGGGTGAGGAAGGACTGGCTACTTCTTACTGTAGGTTTCAAATACATGCCACACCTCACCTGTCGAAAGTAGACCATCCAGTCAGGTTTGCACTGGGAGACCAAGTCGTACGGAGTGACCAGGTAGACCAGGTGCAGGAGGCTGCTGAGCATTAGACCATCCAGGCCTTTTGAGAGGTCACGGTAGAGGACGTCACAGTAGGTCAGATCTATGGAGCCTGAGGAGTAGTAAGAGAAACAATCAGCTGCTGAAGACATTAAAGCATCATGGAGCCCATTCCCTGCAAAGTGATCTGATTCCATCCATTTAATATTTATATCTGGCAAATCCGAGGTACATTTCCTGAAAGCATATTAGCTAACTACATTAGTAACTTATATAGTTAGAACCATGCAACTGAATGGCTCCAACTATGTAAGCAGCTAACGGAAGCTTCTGGGAATTGTGCCCCTGATCTTTTAACAAACATTTAAATACAGATACACATACATAAGGCGTTGCTGCATTCTTCGTCTGGGTAAGCCATGCAATTTTCTAGTGTTTCTCCATATGATGTCTCTGCAAGTGCCTAATTAGATTTGTTGTGTTACATGAAGTTCTGTTACCTCGTCTCAAAAGAATGGACTTACAAGCATTACAGGTACCTGGTGAGCTGCTCTGAGCTTCCAAATGAAAGAATTTCCACACAGCTGACATCATGATAGTTCACAGTTTCAAGCCAAGTGTCTCAGGGTTACTGCATCGTGACGGATCCTTACGATTTGAACTGATGTAAATTAGACGCATGCAGGAAATGAAACAGATCAGCCTGTGGATCGGGCTGTGGTAGCTGGTACCGATGAATTTAAAAAAGCCTGGATTGGCCTCGATTCCGATATTTGAAATTATCTTGAGACATCACTGTCTCTTGTTTAAATGATATATTTAATAATGAATATTTGGAATCTTCCAAAAAAAGGACACACAAGTGGCAAATGCTTTAAATGCTCCACTTACACTTTGTTACTATAGCAGCCCCTCCTAAATCACAAGTTGTAGTGAGTGTGCAAAACAGCCCAAGCTAGCAACTCGCAAATCTTCCATTGCTTTTATCATATTACTCGCGTTGTCTCGCACAATCGCGTACACTTTGCTTAGTGGGATTTTCCACTGAAGGCTACTATCACCTCTCAAAAAAAAATTGTTTTTACAAAGATTGCAAATCGCTGTTGTTCAAAGCGTAAAACACACCCAGATCGTCACCCTCTTATCTGATGTTCTAATGCTCCTCGTACTGCAAAGGGTGTCATGATATCATAGCAGGCCGAAGTCACTGCAATCACACCCACTGAGTGTCAAAAAAAAAAAAACCGAGGCAGCGTTTGCGTTCAGCCTGAATGCCGCAAAAAACACATCTGTCATGCGATTGATAGTACAAATAGATTTAACATGAAATAGGAGTTATCTTTTTAGAGACTGCCAAAAACGAAACAAGTAAGTATCGGACGTGGATCTGTCACATACGGCCGATACCTGATCCGTCAAATAGGTCTGGATCAGCGCCAATACCAATCTGAATATCGGATCGGTGCATTTGTAAAACGAAGCTAATCGATTCAACAGAAGTAAGAATTACAATAAGAGTAATAACCAACTTTTATTTGAACTTCTAGCTTATGTTCCGTCTAATCCACCAGTCACTGCATTCCAGTCATCTAATCCACCAGTCACTGCATTCCAGTCATCTAATCCACCAGGGCTGAAAGCCCTTCCACCATGAGCGAGTCAGTGCAGGACCCCCTCACCTTTATAGGTGGCTCTGCCCAGGTTGGTCACCAGGAGCACTGTGTTGTTCTCGCAGTCCGTGGAGACGCTGATGAGTCCTTTGTGTCTGAGGAACTCCACGGAGTCCTGGACGATCTCCCACAGGCTCTTCTCCTGGCAGCTGTGACTCTGCTGCACACCCAACAGGGTGCCTGACACAAAGTCCCTGATCTGCTCCAGTGTCCTCGTAATCTGAGGGACAAACAGGCCTCAGGTATCAGTCTGGCGCTGTTAACCAAGCAGCTATTGACTATCAGACCAGATATCTTATTAGGTTACACTTATGCAGCTGTGTGTGTCTACTGCTGGTAATTATGGAGGTATAGGTTAGATGTAGCACTGCGGGTTACAACCTACGAGCAGTGGAGTAACAGGCAGACTTGCACGGATGAGGCCTGACAGCTCCTGAGTGACAAGCTAAGCTTCGCGGGTGATGGTCGTTAGCTGATAGCCGTGGGCGCTCACCTTTAACCCGACGAGCGACAGGATGAGGCTGTGGATGCCTTGGCCATTGGCATCCATCAGGTGGCTGTAGCAGCTCTCCAAAGGGGAGGACAGCAGCTGCTTGGCCTGGGAACGGAGAGCAGGGGAGGCTGAGGAACAGGATACAAAGGACACCCAGTGGCTCCACAGGACAGCGGGGCTTACAGAGAGCCTGTCTTTCTCCTGCAGGATGAGGATGCTCTCCCCCAGGCTGTCGATGCCTGCCCGTCCTGCCCGGCCCACCATCTGCTTGTACTGGCTCCTCTTGAGGAAGTCCGTCGCCACATAGGGTGAGCGAAGGATCACCCTGTGAGAGGGGGCAGCAGATGAACAGTGTCAGGCTTAAGAGCACAAAGAGCAGGCATTCGGCGAGAGGAGCTTTCCAGGAAGGACACTGGCTAGCAACGTGCTAACGGTGCAGTGGCCCTGGGCCCTGGCAACTGACCTGCGGGCTGGCAGGTTGATCCCGGCGGCCAGTGTGGAGGTGCAGGTGAGCAGGCAGAGCGTGCCGGCTGAATAGGCCTCCTCCAGCAGCCGGCGCTCCTCGCCAGTCAGTCCGCCGTGGTGGTAGGCCAGGCCGAAGGGCACCGTACGGCACAGCACCGGGCACAGAGCCCCCGCCCCGCTCTCTCTCAGCTCCTGCAGGAGCCGCGCCTTCTCCTCCTCCCTGTGCTTCAGGAAGCCCCTGGAGGGAGCCGGATGGACACGGAACTTTTCATCACATTATCACACATATACACACATGCTGTCCCCCAATTCAGGGGCTGCCTCCTTCTAAGCCACTCCATGGATCCTTCGCAGCCCAACATATCCCAAGATTCACTGTGCAGAGGTAAGCTGTGCATGCCCCGGCTATTCAATAGGACTCTTTGTGACTCAAGGGTAAGAGCGGGAACAACTGGCGACAGCCAGACTGTCCCATCTGACAACGCTTTCCGCTCGACCCTTGAAGAATGCAGCCTACTGTAGACCGTGCCCTTCAAAGGATGCAGCCCATGAATTCAGAGACAGCTTCATCATATGACTGCTTTCATTTCTTTGGTAACCCCCTGTGTCTAAAGGAGAGGAAGATGCGATATGTGGGGAAAAAACAGCATCACAATGTACCCGTACTCATATTTGTACAAGTGGCAAATAAAGCACATCAGTCATTAATTCATTCGGTCATCATTGACTCATCACTTCAACTGTAATAGAAATATTCAAAAATGATATTTATTTCCATGTGGCTTTTCACAGCATGATAAGCACAGATATTGCTGAGGAAGTGGGAGGGGGACCAACAACATACTTCTTCAAGTATTTACAGATCATATCTGCCACGTTCTCACAGTTCTTCTTGCTGGGACAGAAGACCAAGCAGGAGTGTGCAGGGATGACCTCTGCCACCAGGGCTATGATGTGGTCAGGGTCCACCTTCTGCATGGAGCTGGAATACTGGAGAGGCTGAGCATTAGAGTGAGCAGCAGAGCGGGGCTGGCGAGTAGGCAGGCCGTCCTTGAACAGAGGCCCGGACGCACAGAGCAAGGACGCACCTTAAAGTTCAACACGCGAGAGAAATTGAAGCACTCTTCCTCCTTCGGGTGGATCTCGTAGATGGTGTCCCTCACCTTCACATACTCCATCAGCTGGACCTGCAAGGAGGGACATACACTACTACACTATTCCGTCTACGAAGCACATCCATGACTGAAACATGAATGACCTACAGGCCGGAAATCGCTCGTGAAGTTATCGGCTTTGAGGAACTTCTGCAGATCTTCCGTGTTGCTCAGAGTTGCACTCATGCCAATAATCTGTGTTGAGCCTGTGGAAATGAAGGATTAATGTAATATACTGGAAAACCTGCAGAAAGAAGGTTAGGGTTAGAAATGTGTCAGCAACATCTCTGCAGACTCTACATACACAAAACCAGGGCAGGAATTCGACATGCAGCCCTGCAGACGTGACACCACCATGTCCCCCCCTGAGCCACTGCCGGGCGGAAAGACAGAGACTGAGCAGCATAAATGTACTCACTGCTGACATAGAGCACCTTGGCCAGAGTCATCTCCAGCAGGGCCCCGCGCTTGCCCTCCCCCAACATATGGAGCTGGAACACAGACACAGAAAGAGGGAAAATTAGCCCGCAAAGCAAGACCGAGATCCCGCCAGCCATCAGGCCACACACAGTATGGCGACACCTGGCCACCCTTACCTCAAGCCACACACAGCATGGCCGACGTTCTACCACCCACCTCATGGCACATACAAGATGTTCTCCTTTGAAGGATGCAGTCAGCATAGCCTTTGTAGGTCTGCACGATGTCGCAAAGTGAGGGAGACCCGTTGTGTGTGTGTGTGAGTTTTGTGTGTGTGTTTGTGAGTTAACTGAATATGACTACGTTAACATGCAATAACCCGATTAAGATTACAGGTGTTTTTAGTAACGTCTACGTGACTAGCTCCATAATCAGGGGATTATAAACAAAAGTCGGGCCTGCAAAAAGGAGGATGCATTTCTAGGCCACATTCGCAGGAGCCCATGTAAAGGGATACAGCTACAGTGTCATCCGCTCCGTCTTCCTACCTCGTCCACCACCACCAGCCCCAGTCCCTGCAGGCGGCCTGCCTCCACCAGCGAGTTGACCAGACTGTGGCCCTTCTCGATGGTGGCCACAAACAGGGACTTCTTCTTCCTGCGCTTCACTGGGGGGAAGCGTCCTTTGCTACCTGCGTATTCCTCCACCAGGAAGTCCAGCTCCAGGCCTAGGCTGGCCAGACCTCGGACCTGCGTGCAGACAGGTAGGCGTGAGCGGTGGAGTGTGAACATGGAGGGACTCCATGGACGTTCAGGGCAGCGATACCTTCTCCTGGACAAGGGAGATGTACGGCAGGATGAGCAGAGCGTTCATGCTCCTGCACAGCAGCTCTCTGAGGATGAGGATCTCCGCCACCAGGGTCTTCCCACCGCTGGTGGGCAGTGAGTAGATGAGGTTCCTACGCTGCTGTACTGATTCCAGGGTCAGACACGTCTTCTGCCAATCTAAACATGACAAGAAAACAAGGGTCTCCATTTCAGACAGTCCAGGTCATTGCTCTGTAGTCAGCTGTCAGGTACAGCGGCAGAAAGTAGCTACATTCAAAGAACAAATCATGTTATTTATTACTCTACTATAATGTACCATAACACCAGAGATCAAGAAGATTACCATAGAGCAGTGGTTCTAATAGTGGGGGTTGCGAGATATGATTAAAAAATTTTAATGTTATTAAAAGTCCTTTTTTTTACTGTAAGATATAAAATAATAAAGATAATATTGACCGATATATAAATTTGATGTGTGATTAGTCTACCGCCTTTGACCTCACACGACCCCTGAGGTGATTAGGCTACGAATTTATGATATATGTCACCATCAGTTGCAAGTGAATTTGCAGTAGCACGAGAAACATGCAACAAATGTGCATGAAGGCAATATTTCATTTCTGCAAACAAGCTCAAACAATAGGCTTTAGGGCTTTTGTCAAAACAAAATGTTAATACATTAATAGCAAGTTTTGCAACAAAATACAAAGCCGCTTGGATCTACCTACTTATGCAAAAACACTTTCTTGGCACTGATGTATATTAAAAATAAATACAGATCGTGACTAAACATGGAGGTTGATGTCCAGGCAGCTGTCTCATTATGTAAGTTTAACATTAATTAAATGCTAAGCCTATATAAAATTGTATAACTATTGTTCTTTTGTGGTATCAAAACAATGAGTCTTTGTTGGAATAGGCCTATTACTGTGTATGCACGCCAATGCTTGCATGCTGGGGGTCTCAAAAGTTAATTTGGGGAGCATGGGGTGAAAGGTTTGGAACCCATGTGGAGAGTGCCAAACTGCTAAATATCAACATATTAGTGTAAAATATTATGGCCCGCCCCCTGGAAAAATTCTCACGGGCACCCTAAAGTCCAGGGCCGATTTTTAATCCCAGTCCAGCCTCAATTACCATAGAGGTCCTTGATCCCTCGCTGCTTGCTGATCAGCTCCTTCACTTTGCTGGGGAGGCCATAGAAGGGACCAAGGTCAATACCTGCTGGCCCAGCCTCTCTGGCCTCCATAGCTGCACTTATCTCCTTAGTCAGGGCAGCCTCCTTCCGAGCAGCACTGGTGGAGACGCCCAGGGAAGACACAGTGGCGTTCTCTCGCATGGCGCTCTTTAACCGGTCAGTCACACTACTTTTAGCTTGGGCTTCAGCATCCCTCTCATCCTTTCTGTTTCTGGAGGTGGGGCGCCCTCTGGTGGTTCTCCCAGTAGCATCACCTGTTTGTGGGGAAGCAGAGCTATTTGTGCTCCACGCTCCTTTTTTCAGCAACTCTTGCTGAAACGCAAGCTGGGAGCTCGGGAGCTCGTCCATGAATGTGTCCCTCAGAGAGGACACCACATCAGCACTGCTGCAGTCCTTGCTGTCCCCTGTCCTCAGGGCCATGTAACCATCCTCAGGGCTATGTGGAGCACCGTCAAATCCTGGGTCACTTGCAACTCTGTTATCACATCCCATGCCAAACTCCACCTCCTCCAGTTTGGCCAAGAAAGCGCGGTCCCCGAGGATGCTGTCATAGTCCCCAAACAGGTCCTCTTGGTCACTACAGTCCTGTGGAAGATGGGCAAGGCGGACAGCAAACATCAGCTCCGTGCTCTCTGTACGGGGAAAACTGTCACTGCGTGGAGAGAGCTGCTGTTGTACATTTTGTAGTCCAAAGGATGTCATGCAAACTGTATAAAATGACAAACCATTTAAACAGATTTTCTGGTATGTTCTAAGTACACAATAATTAAAAAGTATGGCATGGCAAAATATCAAAAATAAGCAATGAAACTTTAAATTGGTTGCCTGGATGATGACAGCTTGTCTAGTTATTGGATATATACAAATGTTTTTTTTTCTCCATACAAGCCCACTGCACATATCCAAACAGTGAAAAATTAACAGAAAACAAACATGTTGTAATTGATGCCAGAGGTCTCTGACGGGACCATCACGCTTACACCCTCCAGCTTCTCCTCCATCATAAGCACCGCATGGCCACCCTCCGGCTCCTCTGGGCTGCCAGTTCTTTTCTTGGCAGGTGTAAGATGACTCCTCAGACCGTCTCTCGACCTCTTCCGTGAAGTCACACGTTTTACTTTGATTCCCTGGTGGTCGGTGTTCATTCTGTCACCGAACCGCAGTGCTGTGTGGTGCCTTTATCGCTAACACCATTTTCGACCAGCTCCCAGCGTTGTTAACTAAAACAGCTCGGCTGAAGCTTGGGCAAGCATATATTAATGTTGTACATTATAATATCTAATTAATCATTTAAAATGTAGCTTCAAATATGTACATATGCTAGACTTCAGTGAATCCCGTGTCCAACTACTGACCTGCACATAACCAAAACATATCTGACAGCTCGATGGCAGCACACCCGACTCTCAAATCTATTTAAAATGCGGGATAAATGTTGCTATGTGTTTGAATTTGTTTATCCTGCATTCCGAATAAACTCAAAAGTACAACCAAACAAAGATGAAAAACATAAAAAGTATGCTAATAAACAAACGTAAACCTACAAGTCTTGCCAGCATCACCGGACACCACTTGAAAATCGGCAACAGCCAATCAGCGACAAGGAGATATTGTCACTGTAAATGATGACCGACGAAATGCGCTTGTTGAAAACGTTCCTCTTACGTATTCAACATTACACGTTTACATCACATATTTATAATTGATTTTGTAATAATAAAAGTTTTGTTACTTTTTGTTCACCCTTTGGTTTCAAAGAGAGTACAGTCGAACATACATATACACGTATACCAGAAAAAGCGTGTGTCTTTCTTGGTCTCTAGGAAGTTTTCTTACAAGTCAATGTTGCCTGCGGATAACATATCGCGATGCACCCCTGGATTAGAAGGCGGAGGTGTGTTATGAATTACGCTTCATATGCCTGAAATCGTCGTTATTTAAAATTACAATGCTGGCGATCAGGAAATTTCGATTTATTCATCACTTACTCTGTAAAAATGCGGCGAGATACAATACTACGGGTAAATAAATATATGTGTCATTTTCCATGTCAACTGGATTGCTGCTTTAAATGTACCAGAATCGTGATGGGGTTTACTCGGTACTATGTTTGCCTAATTCATATTTAACTTAATTGATCGCGAAATGTATTGCATAAAGTTGCAATTGAATTGAAGCCGTGGCGATTAGACTAAATTACACATTATTATACTGCGAACTGGAGACAAACCTACCATTTCACCTCCACGGAGATCCACATGTGGATTATAACATTACTCTATGGCTTACATTTCTTTGCGTCCTAGATCGCGGTGTCAGAGGGCTGTACGACAGGTCGGCTGAAATTAGCAGAAGTAATGATGACATGGTAAGACAGAGCCTTGTGACTGGTGTTCGGACTCTTATTCATATATTTTTATAGTAAACTCTCATTTATGTTTTTATTCCATGGATAAATAGCCAATAAGTATGGAAAATCCATACAAGGAAGAACCGAAAGGCTGTATACTCTGCAACGTTACGGTAGATCACAAAAACGTACAGGTGAGTCGGGGCGTAAATGCATAATATATAGTAGTACAGCGCTGTTTAGTTCACTCACGTGCGTTTTTCTTTTTGGGACTACAGCTTTTGTCGCAGTTCGTGTCTCCGCATACCGGGTGCATTTATGGCAGACACATAACAGGTGAGACGTCATTACGGAGTTACGGTTATGTAGCATGGCAGAGCTAGTTTGTCAAACCCTGCTTTTTTTCCAGGTCTGTGTGGTAGGAAGCAGAGGGAGGTTTCTAAAGCCATAAAGAAGGCCCACCATATGGGTAAGTTTATCTAACTGTTAAAGTATATCAAGAAATACATTCGGCTGAATGGATTCCATGCATGTCCAATTACCTATTAACTCCAAATTTAGCTGCATATCACAAGCAGACAATCACAGACGTGACGACAGTGAATTGTGCATTGAGGTGTAGTGTTTCCTCCAGGTTTCATGTCTGTGACATTAAAAGACCCATCATTCATGAAGGACCCCAACATCTGTCACATCAAGCACATGGAGTAGATGGGAGACGCGTCCGGCCAGCGGCTGGCACTGAGCAGCGACATTCAGACACAATGGATCCCTCACTGGTCATATGAACTTCAATAAACATTTTTCATATTGCCTATGACAAATACTTTAATTGGTAACAAATATTTTACTTGTGAAAAGTCTTAACAAAAGTTCAAAATTTACACAAATACAAGAGCTACACACTGCTCCAGAAATCGTGGCTTTTTTGCAGCTTGATATGAGCAAGGGCACTTTCAGTTAGCTTACAAGCACCATAGATGCAGCTGAAGAGCTCTTAGGTTGTTTTTTGTCGGAATCTGGGTTTGTCTGTGTCATGCACTCTTTTTTTTCTTTCTATTTTCTTACACAAAAATGTTCTGAAGGCACAAGGAAAAATGATGGGTTCAGAGAGATAACCAATCACATTGCTGAGGAGGTGGATCCAAGTAATTAGAGGCAGGATTGCAACCTCTGATTGGCTGGTTGTACCTCCTCTGGTTGCTTGGACCCACCTCCTTGGCAATCTGATAACCAATTATTTTTCCTCCTGCCCTCGGAACATTTTTGTGTAAGTAAAACTCTCATGAGCATGCTAGCTAGCCCAGATTCCAGTGCAGCTTTAAGGTAACATGGCTTCATTTACAGGACAAAAGGCCAGAAACATTCCTGAGAAACAGAACAAGACAGAAAAGAACTGAATGTTATGAAAGCTACGAGTCTCTAAAGAATAATCACTGCGCCAATTGCAAAAAATATTATTCAGTGTGTTAGAAGACTGGAGAGTTTGATCTGTCCAAATTTCCATTCTGAGAGGCCAAAAGCTCATCCTCTGTCTCTGAGCCACTGACTGTTAGGACTCCTTCAGTGTCCAAAGCTTCCCTCCTCTTCCTCCTCCTGGATTGAGCATCCCGGTAGGCCAGGATTGGGGGCAGCACACCAGATACATCAATGTCATGGTCAGTGTTGCAGAATTCTGGCAGCGGGACACCCTGGTGATTCAGCACTCGCGTCCGGAGCAGAGGGGAATCTGGGAAGAGCACCTTCATAGCTGTGCAAAGCAGCACATTCTCCTGGGGCAGGCGTGAGTTCAGATACTGACTCTCTGAAACAACAGTAAGCAAAAACGTGTCTGGTAATGTGTGCGTGCCAAACAGGATTAAACAGCTGTAAATAAGAAGCAACTGAGTGTAGTGCTTTAATAACCATGGAGACTACCCATAATGCACAGGTGGGAGGTAACACCAATGTCGTGCTGACTGGTTATGACAAGCTCCAAGCTTCTCTGCCCACATGGGGTGGGGGTGGGGGGGGGTATGGGGTTCCATTTGTGCCAAAAATATGTCAACGTGCACTGACCATGTAACAAAACATTTATCTGTGTCTATTCATTTCTGAACTGTACTTCTGTCATCCTAGCACTCCATCATTTGGCTGTTGTATTGCATGTCAATCAAATATGTCTTCCTGTGTCATTCTCTTCATTTGATTGTGTCGTTATACATATTGTCCTGAAGTGTCGTGTGTGTAGTATGTTGTCTTGCATGTAGTTCCGCTGTATCGTTCCGTACTTTCGTATTTTCATATATATTCAACAAACCACAAAGGCTACTTCTGTCAAAATCAGGTTAAGATTCTTACCTGTATTACACGCACATGCCCTATTTCTTTCTTTTATACTCCGTATTCCTTATTTTATTTTGCATTTTAATTCTGTGAAGCATTTTGAGTGACCTCATGTACAAAAACATGCTATACAAATGGATCGGGACGACATGCATAATGCAAATGACAAGAACTACACATCAAGATGACATGCAGATCGACATGGTCAGAGAGGATAACATATCTGGTGGTGGCCTAATAGTTAGGAAAATGTGCTACTGATCGAAAGGCTGTTGGTTTGAATCCCAGACTAGCAAGGTACCGCCCCCATGAACTGCTCCCTGGGTAAAATAATAGCTGCCAATTGCTATGTCATAATGTCACATAATAAACACAGATAAATGCTTTTTCATGTGTTCATCCAGACTGCAGTAGGCAGCAGTTTAGTGCTGTGGATCCCAGGCACTCTAAGGTCTGCCCACAGACCCACATACCCTGGGGCTCACCAGGACACTGAGTGGTCTGTGACCTCTTCTCCGCCACAGCCTTCTGGAGAGCGGACACTTCCACCAGGAGCCTTTCCAGCGAGCGCTCACTGTGGTCCAGGTCCTTGCAGGTCGACTGCAGGCATGGCAAACAGGAGACCCAGGAGACTCATTCCTTAATTCATAACACGCTGGTCTTTATCTGAAAAATAGTGCCTAATGCCTCTATTTATAGCCGATTTCACACAGACACACACCACTGCTGACACTGGCAGGTCCGCCACCCCCTCAGTGG